GGGGAATCCTGTGGTCTGTTCATAGCAGTTTGCATTTCTTCTCTTTCTTGCCTTGTGTGATAAACCTTTCTTTTTCTAAATAAAGTTAATTTACCTCTGAAGCTCATTTGTCGATTATTTATGGTCCATCGCATTATGAGGTTGCATGCATAGTAAATAAATTTAAAAAACCCGTCTTTAAAAACCCTGTGTGTTTTACATTACAATTTATAGAATACATTCCTAATAATTTTTACATTTTCATCCCGAATGACCTTTCTAAATCATTAGCCCAACTTGCTTTCCCACACTATGTCCTATAACCCTGCTCTTTATTTCCAGGGGATCTTTGTAACCCTTTATAGGGAGCTTAAGAGGCTTTCCAAACATGTCTTTGATGTTAGCAAGCAGGGCTTCTTGTGGCAGCATTAGAGCAGTCAAGATAAGGTGAGTTGCGAGAGAGTGATATATTACTTGCGTAGATTCTTTCAAACCAAGCTTAAGCAATTTCACAGCAAGCTTAGTTCATGGGACTGGCCTGATATGCTATACACGCAATGATGAGACTAGAAAAGTTTCAGTAGTCTAATGTTGCTTTCTGAAAACGCTACTCTGAGAACATCGTCCAAATGACTGCCTGCTCTTTGCTTTGTACATGATGGTTCAAGTAAGACCTTTAATATATAACAAATATAAACTCTTTTATACAACCTTTATGAGAGCTCCTAAAGTATTTTCACAGGTGTTGAGTTAGTTCCCATTAGGAAGTATTTGAGTTAAATTAGACACTGACTCTTACTTAAGTAGATTCCATCTGTCTTGGGCTTCAGGCCCTTGTGATTTTAAATGAGCTGTTACAAAGGCAGAAAAAATAACTAAGCCCAAACCCATCTGCGCTGCCCCTCCCCAGCTGCCCACAGAGCCAGTTGTAAAAGAAAACAAGCATTTTTAAAGGTGCAAGGACGACCCAAGCCTAACTATTTCCTCCAAATAGATTCGATTCTAAGTAGGGCCTGTATTTTTTTTTATCACCTACAGTACTGTTAAAACTAGCAATTTGGATGCAGGGTGCAAACACATGCAAGACTGTGGCATAGCTGAAGGTAATGATGGCTTTGTAGAGTCTTAAATCGCAAGGTGCCAACTCCAAATGGCTTTATTTTCTAATGTCTGGGGATCAAGAAGAAAATACCAAAAACATGAAACAAAGTCTTGATGTTCTGATGCAGAGTCATAGTCAAATACATTTAAGCCTGTCTGCATTGCTGCCAACACTTAAAACCGATGGCTTTACATATATTATTCATAACACATGAGATAGACATACTGTACTAGCACAATGCCTTGAATTGAATTTCTTTTTCTATGATGGATCCTTTCCTTTTAAAGATTTCTATAATATAAAAAAGTACATCCTTGCAAATCAAATCAATCTTACAGCAGTGAGTTTCCCAAATTGGCGCTTTTACAAAACCCTGAAACTTCTTGGGAACTACCACTGACAAACATAGTCTATTAGACATCTGATTTACAAAGGAGATCCAAGAGAAATGTAATTCTTTGTTTCATGAAAACCACTAATTATTGATTAAAAAGAGAACGGCGCATTATTCTCTGTGTGCAGAGCCTGCAGACCCCTTGACTTGTGAATAACGTAGCAGTGAAGGCTCTGCACATTACGCTCTAACACAGGGGTGTCTCAACTTCATCGCGGGTCAACTCAATTTCATCGCGGGTCACATTCGCATAAAGGTTGCACTCAAAGGGCCGGTTGTTACTAAATAAATATATAAAATAATGTATTATATTACATTATTGCCTCTGAATTGGATTATCATCGGATAGGGTTAGGTTAGGGTTAGGGTTAGGTGCATGATGCATTGTGGGATATGTAGTTTATGGGCAACCTGCTTCTGTAAAGTGGCATGTAACTGTAATTATATTCTTTGCAAGCTCTTACGGGGCCACATAAAATGAAGTCGCGGGCTGGATTTGGCCCCCGGGCCTTGAGTTTGAGACGGACTGCGTCTTACACATTAGGGAAATGAATGAGACAAGAGGACCGATCACATATTAGAAAGTGATCTTACTCTGCATTTTGTTCCTGCTTTATCCACTTTTACTATCCATCCACTCTGAGTTCCTGTCATTAGATACTTAATAGCTATCACAAAGAATATGCAAAACCTTATCTGGAAATAAACCCACATGCTCTGTTCTTATACATATTTGTCTTAAGCAGGTTTTACTGGCTTGATGAATGTTCCTGTACTTTCTGTTAAAAATGAGGAGGAGTGGCACTGAGGGATACTTATTGTGGGTTGTTATATAAATTAATTATACGTCTTGTGCAAGATCCAGAATAACTTTAAACACCATACATTTCCTGAAAAAGCTCTGGAGATGCATAATATTTCTGGACACGCTCTTCTCTCTGAATTCAATTGGATTACTTCACATTTAAGTTGTTTAAAGTTATGAGAGGATATTTCTGACATAAAGG